CAAAAGGTTATTGAACAAAACGGGCAATATATCATTGATTGATCTTTGTTCTTTATATAAATAAATGACCTTTGAAAAACATAGACAAAATACGTCATGGCTTTTCCGAAGACCCAATAAATATCAGACACTGTGACTGCTGTTCTCAAGCAGAGGATCTTTGCTCCTTGACTTAGGAAGGACACTGTCAGCAGATAATTCCTTGGGGCTCCTCAAGGGTTCAGTTATACCAGGGTTGGTACTGCCTTTGCTCTTAGGGCCTCCTCTTCAATGTACCCACCATCACTTCTAGTGTGCGCTCCTTTCCTGCTTGCCTGAGGTTCGCATTTATTTAGGTCCGTTCTTTTGCATCTGCTTCTGAGCCTATTTCTACCCTGACACCTTTCCCTTTTGTAAGTAGATGCTGTGGGGTTTTTTTTTTCCCCTTTTCTCTCTAGATTTATTGCTCAAGAGGCCTTTGGTTTCTGCTTTTTCTTAGGTTCTCTTCCTATCCTATTCCTCTCCCTTTCTCTTCCTGTGATTGACAGAGCACACAACTCGCTTTCTCCTGCTCCTCCTTTCATTTATTTCCTCATTTGTTTTCCTTCTTGGACCTTGGCTTCCCTGCCAGGGGAATGGAAGAATATCACTGGCTCTGCCCACCCTAAACCAGATGGGGATGGGAATAACCATATCCAAGAGAAAGTGGGGTACAGGAAGTTTGAAGTCCAGGGAAGGAGAGGCCACAGGAATTAGTGCCGAGAAGCAGGGGTTTCAGAAGGAGGAGGAGCAGATGCAGGCCCAGAGACAGAGGGGAGTCTCCTTCCCTCTCCCAAGCATGGCGGTTAGCCCTGGAGAAAGCAGGACAAGAGAAAGGCCATCATACCCTCCAGTCTTTCTGATATGTAGAAAGTACACCAGGGATACTATCAGAGCTATCCCGGCCAGGACTCCGATCACGATGCCAGCAATAGCCCCATCTGAGAGGCCAGGAGTTGGTTGTGCTGAGTCCTCATCTGTCAAGGACAGAAAAGAGAAGAATGAATGATGGTGACATTATTTTACAATGGGGGTGCCCTGGGAAACAACTCTCAACATGAAGTAGTCTCTACCTGTTCCTCTGAGGAATACATTTTCTGTGGAAGGTTGCTGTGAGGTGATTAGCTGAGTATATCCTTGTAATATTTTTCTCTCACTGTATATCTAGGTTGGTGGTCAGACTTTCCTCAATTCAATTCCATCCCGGCTTGTCTGCACCCATATATATATATATATATATATATATATATATATATATATATATATATATATATATATATTTCTTAAACTTTATTGAGGAACAATGTATTTTTTCCAGACCCATCAGCTCCAATACAAGCCGTTCTCAATCTAGATGTGGAGGGCACAGCTCAGCTCCAAGCCCAATCACCGTTTTCATTCTAGTTGCGGGGGGCGCAGCCCACCATCCCATGTGGGAATCGAACCAGCAACCCTGTTGCTCAGAGCTCGCGCTCTAACCAACTGAGCCATCCGGCCACCCCTGTACTCAGATATTTTTGAAATTTTGGAAATGTAAGAAAGGCTGATTGCTACTTTTGTATTACTTCCCACCATTTTTTGGTTGCATCTTTTTGTGTATGAGGTGTGGCAGCCATGCTTATGTGCCTCTCAGGTCTCTTGTAGTGGGGACTTAATTGACAGAAGGTAGTGCATTCTGAATTCACCACTTCCTTTGCACAGAGACCACACTTCCCAAGGTTCCCAGCAGGGATCTGAAATAAACCCAATTCTGTGAGAAATGGATTTCCTCTGATGGGTGAAGTTACCTCAAGGACTCCCCCATCCCCACCCCCCCACCCCTNATTCTGTGAGAAATGGATTTCCTCTGATGGGTGAAGTTACCTCAAGGACTCCCCCATCCCCACCCCCCCACCCCTGCCATCACCCTTGTGGATACTTTCTTAGAACTGCACTGCAGCCTAAATTCCTCTCTTTCTCCTTCACAGGAATCAGATCTGCACTGTGGCTGAGGAATCTTCCAGGCTTCTCCCACTCCCATCCCACTTTCCTTCACAGGCATTTTTTCCAATAAATATCTTGTATGTCTAATTCCATCTTGGCTACATCTCAGGGGATGAAAACTAACAAACTAGGCTTGAAACTTTGCATTCAACTCCTATTTTGCCTTTCCCATACTTAGTCAGTAACCATGTCCCAATGATTTTTGTGTAGTATCCTCCATCCTTATAATACAGTTTGCATTTGTTTCTTCTTATTTATTTCTACTGCATCCACTATCAACTCAAGGTTGATGACTAATATTAATGTTAATATTAATATTACTGTTATGGAATACTTACTGTGTGCCAGTCTCTGTTCTATAAACACTATTAGATAGACATTATTTCCACTTTACTGATGACAAAACTGAGGCTTAGAGTGATGAAAACTTTACCCAAAGTCCTACGGCTAGTAAGAGGTGGATCTGGGATTGGACTCTAGGACTACCTGACTTTATAGAGGCTAATGATAATAGTAGTACAATAATAATAGCAGCTAACACTTATGGAACATTTCCTCTGTGTGTGGCATTTTGCTAAGTGTTTAATTGATTATTGCATTAAATACGTAAAATAACACCAGGAAGCAGGCACACTTACTGTAATTTTCAGTTGAGGAATATGAGGCTCCAAGAAGTTAAGAATCTTGTGCAAGAAATTTGTCATTGTAAATGTTTACATTAAAAAAGAAGACCTCAGGGCCAGCCGAGTGGCGCTACGGTTAAGAGCTGGCTTGGGACGCCAGAGGGCCCCGGTTCGGATCCCACATATGAGGGTCAGTGACACTGCCCTCTACAGCTAAGATGCTGAACAATGGCTCAACCTGGAGCTGGGCTGCCGTGGGTCGCCGGCGATGGCGTAGGCTGCAGCCCCTGTCTGTTCCCCTTCCCCCAATTCCCCAGCACTGTTCCCTCCCCCAATTCCCCAATAAAAATCTTAAAAACAAACAAACAAAAACAAACAAAAAAAAGAAGACCTCAAACCAACAACCTAACTTTACAATATAAGGAACTAGAAAAAAAGAGCAAATTAAACTCAAAGCTAGCAGAAGGAAGGAAATAATAAAGATTAGAATTTAAATAAACACAATAGAGAATAGAAAAAGAATAGAGAAAAATCAATGAAACCAAAAGTTGGTTCTTCAGAAAAGAAAAACAAAATTGACAACGCTTTAACTAGTTTGTCTAAGAAAAAAAGAGAGACATTTAGTCAAATGACTAAAATCAGAAATGAAAGTGGGGAAATTGCTATCAATTCTATGGAAATAATAAGAATTATAAGAGTACTATAAATAATTGTATGCAAACATATTGGAATAACCTAGATAAAATGGACAAGTTCCTAGAAACACAAAACCTACCAAGATGGAATCACGAGAAAATAGACAATATGAATAAACCTATCACTAATAAGGAAAATGAATCAGCAAAAACATTAAACCAAATTCAATATATTTTCATGATAAAAACATTCAAACTGGAATAGAAGGAAACTATCTCAACACAACAAAGTCCACATATGAAAAACCCACAGCTCACATCATTCTCAATGGTGAAAGCCTGAAAGTTTTCCCTTTAAGATCAGGAACAAGACAAGGATGTCTACTTTTGCCATTTCTATTCAAAATAATATTAGAAGTGCTTGCCAGAGAAATTAGGCAAGAAAAAGAAATAAAAGGCATCCAAATTGGAAAAAAGTAAAACGATCTTTGTTTACAATGACATGAACTCACATGTAGAAAACACTAAAGATCTCACACACACACACACACACACACCTTATTGGAAATAATAAATTCAGCAAGGTTGCAGGATACAAAATCAACATGCAAAAATCTATCATATTTCTACTCACTAACAACGAACAATCTGAAAAGGAGATTAAGAAAACAATTCCATTTATAACAGCATCAAAAAATATACTGGGTTGTCGGAAAAGTCATGACGCATTTTTGCAATGAAAAACATAGAAAAATACGTCATGACTTTTCCAACAACCCAATAAAAGAGTTAAGAATTAACCAAGGAGGTGAAAAGACTTGTGCACTGAAACATTACAAAACATTACTGAAAGAAATCAAAGACAGATATCGAATGGTGGCACAATTAGGCCAGACTGAAGACAGGCCGCTCATGCAACTTCTTCACAGATCTCTGTTCCACCACAGGTGGCATCAGAGCAGTGTCAGTCACCAGGTGAGCCTGGAGCATAGCAGAGAGCAGGAGTCTGTCCTGCACACCCGTCCTTAGAGGCGGTTTTATCCTTTTGTTTGGGGGGAAAGAGGTGAGCTTGATTCAAAGCCCTGTATGTCCATTGTAGCACATGGAGTAGGTAACAGAAAATAAAAAGGTGACAGTAAGAATGTGTTAGTGACACAAGAAGCAACTTGACCTTGAGGACCTTTGTTTTTTCCCCCCTCTCTGAAGCCCACTCGACCACGTGGGGCTTTCTGGGGCTGAGAGAACTCCCTTTCTACACTGTGAGGCTGGACCCTAGTTCTACTATGAGAAATCAGAAGAACAAGGAGAGGAGAGAGTCTACAGAGATGTAATGGGAGGGCTCAGGGGAAAGAATTTGTGATTTGCTTGTATCCATGGCCACAAGATGGCAAACAACCTCTAGGCTGTTTTCTGAAAATCAGACAGACCTCCACCCCAGAGCTTAGCACTGGTGGTTCAGGGAGCAACTTACCAAAGACTGTGATAGTCCTGACTGCGGTCCTATTGAGACGAGTGACAGAGTTATGGACGAGGCAGGTATAGGATCCACTATTATTCACAGTGATGTTGGGGATAGTGACCTTCTGTGTGGATTGCTTGAGCCTCCCATTGATAAGCCAAGAATACAATGCGGGTGGGTTAGAGGCTGCGTGGCAGGAGAGGCTGAGGTTGGCCCCGGGACGGTAAAGGGTGTCTGAGGGAGAAATGGTGGGGGACTCCGGGCCATCTGGAGCAAAGAGAAAAAAGCCACATGTGATGTCATCAGAGCAAAGGGAACACTCCTTGTCTGTATAAGAGCCACACTGTCCTGAGCTGGGTCACAGTCGTTTTAAAAAGTCCCAACCATAACTCCCTGTGTTCACTGATCCTGATTCTGAGACATTAACCAGTTTCTTCCATGAGAGGTTATTGATCCCGAACCTCTCAAGACAGGAGCAGCCCGTGCTCTCCTAATCTCAGCTCAAGGCTGAGCCTGCCCGCATTTGCCTGGGAGAGGAAGTGATGGCCAGTATGGGTGTCCAGGGGTGAGGGTGTGTGTACTTGGACCTGAGAGGGACGAATGTAGCCTGACCTCTGGCAGTGTGGATTTGGGTGGGCAGTGTGGGCCAGGGAGGGCAGAAGTTACTCACAGGAAACATTCAGGTAGAGTGGGTCACTGCGGCTGGCACTCACTGGGTTCCGGGATTCACACTCATAGGGTCCTATGTCATTCCTTGTGACATAGAGTATCGTGAGGGTCCTGTTGTCCTTGGACTGCTCCAGCTTGGAACTGTTCTGGATGCTCTGACTGTTGATCAACCACAGGTAGGTGGTGTCCTGAATCTCAGGTTCACACGTGAACACTACAGGGTCCTTGTGCTCCACGGGGTTAGAGTTGTTGCTTGTGATGTTGGGTTTGGGTAACTCCGCTATGCAGATAACAGAGAAAACATTGCCTGTGTGGTACCTTTGATTCCTCCAAAGGCATCTTCAATCAGAGTTGGCACCTCTCACCTCTCAGCCAACCTGAGTACTTCAAAGAATAAGTCAGGTCTGTGTATCACAAGACAAATGCATGAGGCTATGATCACTCAGAGAACATAAGGCACCAGCTCTACGTCTGGGAGAAAGCACAGACTCTCTCAACTGTCAATTAGGTGTCAGAGTTTGATCATGGGAGGACATGGGACTGAGTCAGAGACCACCTGGCACCTGCCCTGGTTCTTCACTGACCAGCTGACTCCCTGACCTGGGGACTGGGCGTTTGAGCAGAAATGACACATGGGGAGGCCAAGAGAAAGCCCACAGGTCAGATCAGTGCTCAGATGGCAAAGGCTCGAGGTGGGGCAGTTTGTTCGGGTGACTCACATGGAATAATGATGCCATGGAGGGTAGAGCAGATTCAAGACTAGAAATGATCAGAAAAGAGTGAGGGGACAGCGGGAGCTGGCTGGCTTTGGCAGGACCACACTTTCTGCCCTTGGTCTTTAACATCTCTTCTCCCCCTGCTGAGGGCAGTGAGGACCATGTCAATTCCTACTGAAATACTCCTAGACAGTAGCAAATACTGAAGGGGTGGCTTGTGGAAAATGGGGGAGCATGACCTTGTTGAAAATCTGACCTTCCTAAACTACTTGTAAAGACAGTTATGAGACAGAAATTTGAGTAGAAGTTAAATTGTGAAAGAATATGTGAAAATCATTATCAATGCCCGAAGATCTAAGACCAGTTTCTAGAGGAATCTCTCTAGAGAGCACTGAAGGTCATAGACCAACCAGGTTCTGCAGTCCAACCAGGATCACACTGTGATGAAAGGAATATGCTACAGTGGGTGTTAAATCAGTGGCTCCCTGGGGAGAGAGAGAATGTGAGTCCTGTTAAGAGGACAGAAGTGATCAGAACGGAAGTCTAGGTTTCTCTGTTGTACACAGGGAGGTATGAGCCCAAATTAGTGGAAACAATGTGTTATGTTAGCTAGTTTATGTCACCAATTTCTATGAGTAGTGAGGCAAATGAGGAGGAGCCCCCACACGGGCATGGGGCATGCGTTCTTTCCCCTCTCACTAACTCAGGAAACAGAACTAGAGCTTGATCAAATTCATCCACATTGGGCAGTGTCTAAGAGAAATGACAGCGGCCTGTGGAGCTCACTGTCTGCGAGGATCCCACCCAATGCTGAAGGTGTCAGCATGAGGACACACGTGTGTGAAGTAGGCAGTATACCAGTCAGATGGCACAGGGTCACCAGCCCGACCTTGGAAAGGTCTCGGGAACGAACCACTGGGAGGAACGGGAGCCTCACACCTGGACGAGGATGTGAGTCATGAGTCGGGTAAAGTGAGCCCAAGAGCTTTTTGGGACTGAGACCTGTCCTTCTGCCTTTGACTCCCTGCTTGAGTCATGTAGAGCGCTGATGAAGGGGTCATAGTCCGTCATGTGGCCTGTTCGCCTGTTGGCGTCATGGAGGGAAGGAGCCCTGGAAGGGAGCACAGCGAAAGCTTGTTCTCCTGGTGACCTGGGAAACTGGCTCATGATGGAGCCAGGGGCTTCTGCTCTGACTGATTTCTGTGTCCTTTCCTATTGCCCAGGAGGGTGGGCCTGGCCACCGGTGTTAGTGGGAGAATCCCAGGAGGCTTCAGGGTGGAGGAAGCAGAGGAGAACAGGGCAGCGTGGCTGGAATGAAGGAGGAGGCAGGTGAGGGACAGGAAGGAGCAGAGAGAGCCAGAACTGTCCATGGTAATGAGCAGGGGGGCTTACAGGTGACTTCAGAGACCCCAGGGACCAAGAGCCCACGGCTGGTCCAGAGAAAGACCAGTGCAGCCAGGAAAATCTTCCCATGGCAAACAGCCCCACAGTCACCATGAGACTTGGCTCCTGTGGGGACTTGGCGGGAGGTGATCAGAGGGATGGAACGTGGGTCCCAGCCCCTGGAGGTACAGGGAACAGGAGTGGCCAAAACCTCCTAGGACTCTGCATCCAGCTTCCAGAATCTGTAGAGATTATGAATCATTCACTCATTCATTCATTGACTCATCATAAATCCTTCCTCCTTCATCAAAAGCAATTGAGTGTTTGTTACATGTTGGTCCCTGAGCTGGTTTCAGGTGTGGAGTGGGGAATGAGAAGCAAAGTCCTCTCCTTTATGCTCCAGCGGGAGTGACACCAACACATCAGGAAACAAATAAGTGATTTCAAGTCCAGTGCAGGGAGGGGCCATCAGCCACCTGAGGGGGAGGCCTGGGCGTCCCAGCACTGACTGTGATGATTACTGCAGGTGATTTGGTTCTAGAGTAGAAACAGATTAATTCTGTATTTGCTTTCACTCCCCACACCAGAATCTCTCCCTCTGAGCTGGGGACACCTGAAAAGAAAGGATCTGAACCAACAGCTGGTTTCAGGGTCTATATATGCATAATAGGCCCCAGGTGGAGGAGGGGACGCAGCTGTGACTGCAGACAGATCTTGGCCTGACTCTGATTTACCAGTCATGATCTATGTTCCCCTGTAACTCAGTTTCCCCTGAATGAAACAGGATGAATGGTAAATGGTTTCAGGCTTGTCATATGGCCTGTGATTCTTAAATCTTTCACAATTACCTGACCTAAAGCTTGGAATAGAAGTACAGCCCAAGGTAATAGCATCTGTTATTATTTGATCCATGAGAGAGGGCTCCCTGGTTCGATCCTTGGTGGATGAGGAGCTGCCAGGAGCATATTCTCTCCTCTGCCCCTCCCTGGGGACACTGACCTTGCTCTGGGGTCTCCTAACTCCACCAGGGCAGTCGGCTAATGGCCTTATGGCCTTGTCCATCTGGGCTCAATGCACAGTCTCAGGTGAAGGATCAGGCCCCGCTCCTGCCCAGATGTGGCTCCTGGGGCTGAGACCTGGCTGGTGACCAGCTTAGGAGCTCAGGACTCAGACACCTGGAAAACCGTTCCTCCCAATCTGCCCTGCCCAGGAGGCCAAACCCAACCTGGGACAGGCTCCCCAGCATCCTTGGAGTCAGCAGCCCTGGGTCAGGGGTCTGGGGAGGGGCTGCCTGGGCTGAGCTTCTCCATCAGGACCCCAGGGGGCCACTCAGGCCAGGCTGACCAAGCCCTGCAGGGTCTTTCTCAGGGTCATGGTCACGGGACTGGCCCAAGGGCTGGCCTGAGACTGGTCTCCCTGTGCTGAGTTACTCTCATTAGTCTGGTCCTTCTTTCTGGGGTGAATGTCTGCAGGGGCTGGAATCTGGGAAGGGAACTCTGATCTTGTGAAGCTTGTCTCCACTGTGTGTGACCTGCACTACATACTGCAACCCCAACCTGGGAGGTAATGCAGGGGGGATGGAGGCAGAGTCCAGGCTGTCGATCTGTGTGTGTGAAGTAGAATTCACCCCACCCGACACCCAGAGGTCAGAAAGGAGTCAGTCACTCACGGTATACACGGAGCTGTCCAGTCACTTCTTCATTGTGAAAATGTGTCTTTATGGCTTGTAGAGTGTAGTATCCTGTGTCCTCCAGGGTGACTCTCTGGACCAGCAGGGATCCATTGGGGTATATTGTCTCTCGTCCGCTGTATGTTGGCCCAGGGTTATTTACTTGAGTGTCTATTCTGTAGGATGCAATTTGACGGGTGCTGTCCACTCTTCCCCCTTTGAACCAGGCATAGCCTGCAAGATCCTCAGGCAGATTGTGAGCAAGAAAAAGCACATCCTTCCCTTCAGCAGCGCTGGGCGGCATCAATTCAAGAGTGAGTTGGGCAGTGGTGGGCGGGCTCCAGAAGGTTAAGAGTGAGACTAGGAGGAAAGAGAGAAATTGATNCAGGTGCTGGGACTGAGGTCCTGACATTGTTTAGTCACCTAATGAGTCCGTTTTCGGAGGTAGAGTCATACTTAAGGGATGATTAATTGGTTTATGAATCTGAAGATTAAGAGAAACTCCTAAGATATAGTTTTCTTAATAGAATGTTTCCTCCTAATCATAGAAATGATTCATTCATTGTTAAGATTCTTAAGATGGTAAGGACATCAGAGTAGCTGGTCTAATGACATTGCATGTAGATTTGTTACTTGTCTTCTCTTCCCAATGTCTCTAGTATTTTCCTCACCCAACTTTGTATTATAACCCAGTGGTGTCATTCTGGTTTGTGGTTACACCCTTTGAAAACCCAGTCTTCCAGTTGGTGAGCTACAGGCAACCATCAGTTAATCACCCCATAAAGATGCCTCTTTCTGAATCTTAATGTGCCTTTTGTCCAAGGTCAGCCCTTATCCCTCAATCTCCAGCCCTTTTGTGCCACAATTCTAGCAGGAACAATCCACTGCAGGTCATTTGCAGTCCTCCTTGAGCTCATGTGGCCCTTTTCCATCACCTGAGACAAATAAGTGCAAATGTTTATACTGCCACAACCCCTAACCTCAAATACTCTTTAGATAGCACTCAGTGTGAAGCTACTGGGACAGACATCGGGGTCCCCATTTAGGATTCTCACATTGGAGGGTATGACAGCATGGACTATTGACCCAGAACTACCCCCAGGGCCCAAGTCCCTGGGGAAAGGGATTATTCTATGCAGAGTGGGCAATGTAGGTTGGATGCTCAGGTCCCAGATGTCCCTGCCCCAGAGGTGGAGACAATGGTCGTGAGCCTGTGACCTTATGGGCCCTGTCACTTAGTATGTATGCACATGGGCCTTGGCTGGGCTGCTGTGAAATATTTCAGGCTAGGCCTTCCTCAGTGGAGGTGGGTCCTCACGGGTATTTCAAGAACCTTCCTACCTGAAAGAATCGGGAGAGATGTGACATCCACTGTGGCACAGGTTCTTTTAGGACCTGAGGGAGTAAGTGGAGTCAGGGCTTTGCCATCCACTCCAGATCAGGACGTGCGTGTGTGAGGTCCTGCCTGACCCCGCCTCTCAGGACAGCACTGCTGGGGTGTCTGTGGGGAACTCGGCCTCCCCTCTCCCACCCTGCAATTCAGGAAAGGGACCTCAGAGCCCCTTCACGTAGAGTCGGACAGAGGAGGAGCACAGGTGAGTAAGGGCAGGTGGACGTGAAGAGAGGCCTTTACTCCCGGGGGTAGGAGCAGTGAGATGATGGGCAGACACGAGGCCCACAGCCCGCTTAGCTCCTGAAGCTGAGTTAATNACTTGTTTATTTTCTGTCTCCACACCTTCTAGAAATTGAACTCCATGAGAGAAGAGACTGCTTTGCTTGCAGCTGCATTTTCTGACTCCCTAACTAGGGAAAACCATGAAATTCATGTTTGATCAGTAGTTAAAGATGTTTTGGATGGAAAGACCAGAATGTAACAGTGTCCAAAGGACCTCTTCCCTGGTTTTTCATCTTCTCTATTCTGCCTGAAATATTTTGTATTTATTTAAACGACATTGTGCTACACATAAAGTCTATCTCTAATTTTTTTTTTATTCATCAATATCTTGTTTTAGATTTAGCCTTAGAAATATATTTAGGTCTCATTCAATGGTTCTCAACTGTATTGATTTTTCCCTCCCAGGGATCTTTGGCAATGTCTGGAGGTATTTTTGGTGGTCAGAACTGTGGGTGAACTCTTGGTACCTACTGGATAGAGACCAGCGATGTTATTCAAAGTCCTGCAATGCACAGGACAAGCCCCTACATCAAAGAATTATCTGGTCCAAAATGTGAGTAGCTCCAAAGTTGAAAATCCTTCTGCAGACAGACATCTTACTCTATGAGTTTTAACAAGAAAATACGACAATATCTATGACTATAAAGCAACCTCTTAATATTTTATATGAGAACAAATCTGTATATTTAACCTGGGCAGATGGGGCAGGTGGGGAAGGAAGAGATTTCCTGGCAAACCAGCCTTGTGGGGAGAAGGCAGGAAGGAGTGGGGGGGGCAGAGGGGGGAAGACAAGGGCTTTGATAGGAGCAGGGTGTCTTCCAGGGCCCAGAGGAGGACAGTTCATGCCCAAGGGGATGCTGCCTAGCTTCCCTCTGGGTCCCCAAGAGGCCTTGGGCCTCCACTTCTTTGAAGAAAGGGGCCAGGAGCCCCCATGATGACCATTACCTTTCTGATGGCTGAGCCAGAAACCTGGGGGTGCTCGATTCACAGAAGTGGAAGAGGGTGAGTCAGCTGAGGTCTGAGTTGGGGTGGGGGTGATAGGGACACAGGCCACTTGTGGGTGTGATGCCCTTAGGGTTGGCAAAGGTGGGGGCTGAGCAGTGGAGGGGGTGAAAGGGAGGGGCTGGGAGGTGCTGCAGCTGTGACTGAACTGGGACTACAAGGGGCCCCCAATCTTCTATGGGGGACCCCTAAGTGGATTCAGTATGGGAGGAGCAGAGTGTCCTCAGGAAGTGCAGAGCAGGATGGTGGGGAGTTGGGATCATGATTCCATACAAGCTCCTTTGCTTGGTGGCTCCACAGGAGAAGGACAGGGGTCTGGGAGGCTGGCAGCCCTGTCAGTGGGAGCTGGCAGAGGTGGCCTGTGGTGGTCAGTGCCCCATGGTGGTGCAGGGCCCAGCAGGGTGAAAGCAGCTGGGACTTGAGTCTCCAGAGGTGCCTTAGTGGGCCTCAACTTTCAGGGGGGNGCTCACCCCCTACCTGCCCTCAGACCCCTGCTGACACTCAGGGGCGTCCTAGGGAGACACTTGCCCTGACCCCCACCTCTATAGTCCCTGTCTTCACTTTCTGACCTTTCCCTGCTCTGTTCCCTTCATGGCACTTGTCAGTACCTGGCATCACATCTGGATCTTTCTTTGTCTGTCTCCTCCCCGTGGAATGTGAGCTCCATGCAGGCAGGGGCTTGTCTGATCTTGTTGTACCCCCAGTGCCTGGGACAGGCTGCAAATACCTGTGGGTGAATGAATGAGTGTTCCCAGGGCCCTCCTCCTCCTGGTGTGTATTTACCGGTTTCTGAGAGCGTTAAGGACAATGTTTATTGCTCCTGGTTAAGCTTTTTCTGGTGTCACCCTGACACCAGAAATTACTGCTCGGAGATTAATTACTTGTAATGTTGTAATTGAGGTTTTCCAGCCCCTCACCACTTCCAGATCATGGAATTTTCCTGTTACTGAGCCCCCTCTCCCATCGTACTCTGCTCCACTGTCCTCGCCCTCCAAGTTCAAACAGAAGTCCTCTGTTCCCTCTCAGAGCCCTGTCCTACCCAAGAGACCCCAGCCACTCTCTGTCTCCCAGATTCCTGTCCACCCCTAGAGAATCGCCCCCTCTCACCGGCCAACAGGAGACCCTGCCAGGGGACGCGCCCTCTGCGGGCAGGGGCTGAGGGGGATTCCATGGTGTCTGATGCCTGCTGGGTTCCTCTGTCTGCGAGAAGAATTTAGGCTCCAGAAACACTCACAGGCACCTCTGTCCAGACGCCTTGTATCTGATGTCCCTACTCCAGGTGAGCTGGGCCTCTGTGGGGGCAGGAGTGCTTCCACAGTCACGTGGGCTGGGGGCGGGGTCTCTGCCCAAGACCCTCCCCTTCCTTCCTGTCATTCCTGCCTCCCTTGTGCCCTCCTCCGTTTACCTTCTGTCTACATTTCTGTTGCCTGAGAACTGCTGAGGCCTCTGCACACGGGCTAACACACACTCACATCCACATACACACACGCCCTGTTTGGACAAGCACAAGCCTGAGGTGTCCGTGTCTAGGGCATTCTCCACAGCCCGGCATCCAGTACTCAGCACCCTTCCCCAAAGCCCTCTCTCATCCCTCTGGCGCTCCCTTCAGAGCAGGAGATTCGGTGGCTACATCAGGAACTCTTATGACAGGGATGTCACACCCATTTTGCATGGGAATCACCTGTGGAACTTCGTAAAGATTGTGATGCCCAGGTGACACCTTAGAAATGCTGTTGTATTTCAGCAGCTCCCCAGCTTCCTGGCCAGGCTGAGACCCTGTGATGTGAGAGTGGGGCCACTCTTCCCCCTTCCCTGTGCACAGGGAGGATCTGCAGATCCTCTTGAAATGCAGATTCTGAGTGGATGTGTGTGGTGGACTAGAGACTCTGCATCTATCAAGCTTTCAGGGGATACTGATCATATTGGCCTGAGGTGGACTTTCAATGGCTTGGCTGATGGGGACCCCTGGCCCCTTACAGCAACGATCCTCAACCTTTCACAGGGGTCGCCTAAGACCATCGGAAAACACATATTTTCGATGGTCTTAGCAATCAAGACACCGCTCCTCTATCCGTCTCCAGGCCCACATGCAGATACGCCCACATACGAGTACCCAGCGACCCCTGTGAAAGGGTCGTTCGAGACCCAAAGGGGTCGCGACCCACAGGTTGAGAATCGCTGCCTTAGAGGATGACTCACCTACCCACCCAGCATTGGCCTCTGCTCTGTCCTGGTCTGGTGTCTGTCAGCACCACACAGACAGCCCCAGGGGTTCCCTCCCCAAGCTTCAGGGGGATTATTTCCATTTGTGACACAGAAACCCAGCTGGACACCAGGCTCTTCCCTGTGTTCTCAAATGCTCTGGGAAGGTTGGATTTCCTCCCAGCAGGAAGGCCACTTAGATGACTCTGGGGGTGAGAAGGGGTCAAGCTGGGTGAAGGCTAAGGAGGGGACCCACCTTTTACCTCCATGGGGCTCTAGCCTGGTCACAGCTTCCACAGACAGGCTCTTAGGGCCTGGGAGTCCCAGAGGGAATAGTAATTCCTGGGGGTGTGAAGAGTGAGTCTCTGTGTGTACTGGGAGCAGAGACCTATGGTGGTTGGTCAGTTGGGTCAGTGGGCCACAGGTCACCAGGGATAAGTCTTAGCCAGACTCTGGCCCCTTCGGGTCTGATTGACCGAGCTGTACCCCGGAGACTTACCCATGTGCTCCCTGACTGTTCTGGTTGGGCCCTCTGTCCTCTGCTCAGCTGACTTTCCTGGTTACCTGCCTTTCCCTATGAGTGGTGGCAGGCAGGGAGAGGGGGGCTGTATGGGGATCCCCATAGGACCAGGCTCTCAGAGGCCCAGGAACAGGTGACATGGAACAGAGCAGAATGGTCAGGGCTGGGGACACTCATCCTGACTCACTCTGTGGTCACGGTGGGCTTAGTCACCTTGGACCTGGGGTCAGGACCCTGTTAGAGTGGAAGGCCCAGGTGGTGCCGGGAGAGCCCATATTGGGGAGTGAAGTTGCTCACAACTCACAGGTGAGGGTGGGTGTGGTGTGTCCTTGTTACTGCAGGAGCTCATCCGTCACACCTGTGCACACCTAGACTCCTGACTTCATGGGGTCAAGGACGTAGGTCTATGGGAGAACCCTTGATGGTGCCAGTGCCCATGTGTCTTCACACACTGTCCAGTGGGCCTGGTGTTACATCTCTGCTTGATCGATTTCTTTCTGTCATTATGAGCACTCCTTGGGCATTTTGTCCATGTCAGCACTGGGCTTGGCCAGGAGATACCACAGAGAACAGGCCTGATGTGATCCCTGTACTTGGAGCAGGGAACCAGGCATTTACTACGTCATTATAGAAGTCACTAATTCATGATAATCTAGAGGAAGTATGAAGGGAAATACCTAGTGTGGTGGTAGCATATAATAGAGCTACCCTGGGAAAGTGTCCTTTTGGCTGGGACCTAAAGTGTGAGCGGGCATGAGTGGACGTTTGCCCTGTTTAAGACAGAGGGGTGGTGGGGACGAGCTGCCTACAGAGGACTGGCAGCTGGATGGAGGAGCTGACCAAGTCCAGTGTGGGGAGCTTGGAGAGCGAGGAGGACTGTGGACTGAGTGATACTGGTGATGGTTGAACCCTGCTGGGCTGTGGACGCTGCTGAGGGAGGTCAGCAGCTCCCAGGGTGCCTCCAGGCTGCGGAGTAGCTCTGCCGCCCTCTGGTGGACAAGAAGGGAAGTGTAGCAGTCTCCATGCCTTCGTCTGTGCGTTTGTTCAACATCAATTCATAGACACATACACGGGTCAATTAGCATAATGCTCCATCATGTCCCAGCTCCGTGAGTCGCAGCCTCTGTTGCGCCAAGAACTCCTGCTTCCTTCCTTAATGTGATGTCACCAAGCTCAAATTTCCAGGAACATATATCAGTTTGTCTCTAGTAAATTACATGTGTGCCCCCTGGGTGGACCGGTGTGTGTGACTGCAATCCTGGGCGGTGGGTCTGCGGGGGAGAAAATGGAGGATCAGGGAACTGGGTGTGTCAGGAAGGGAAGGTTTGTGTCAGGGGGTCAGAGGGGAAAAGATGGACAAGTCGATACCCTCTCACTCCCAGGGCCTGGTGTCCAGGACAGAAACTCTGATTCTGGGGACACACAGTACAACACACCTCTTCATCTCCCAGGGTCAGCGCAGGACTCAGCCACTCGTCTATCTGCAGCACGGGAGAACTCTGGTAGGACCAGATGGGTCACATTCCCTTGGCCCCACACTTTAAAACGGCTAAAAAATGGTGAATTTTAGGTTACGTGGATTTTATTTTAAAACAGACAAAACACTTAGGAGAGAAACCTACACATTACTTATAAAACTTGCACCAGTACACCACTGGGAGTGTATGTGGATGTCCATTTCTTCACGCCCTTTGCACTCTCATAGTAATCATGTGGGAGCAGAAGCCGTGTGCACCCATTTATCCATCTTTCCTTCCTGTATTCATTCTCTGAACACTTAACAAACCATTTCCTGTGCCAGGACCTTGTGTAGGAGAGATGGGGGCTGTTGAGAATCACAACTAGCCTCATCCTGCCTGTCTCTCAGGAACTTTGGGATCCATAGGACACATGATATGAGTGTAGGTTACAGCTCCTAGACATGTCACAGCACAAAGAAGAGTCAGAGTGGGAGTTAGAGCGGGTCATTATGTCCTCCTTTGGCAGTTGGGATGACCTTGTGGCAAGATGGCCAATGAGGTTGGCTGTAAAAAAGGGAAGGAGGGGGCCGGCTGAGTGGCTCTGTTGGTTAAGAGTTAGCTTAGGAGCGGAAGCTCTCAGTAACAGGGCTGCCGGTTCGATTCCCACATGGGCCAATGATGCTGCGCCCAAGGTGAGCTGCTGCTGAGCTGCCAACATGTGGCAGGATGGCTCAGCTGGTGAAAGCATGTGCTCTTAACAACAAGGCTGCCGGTTCAACTCCTGCATGGGATGGTGGCTAAGCCCACCCCCAGCTAAGACTGAACTTGGCACCTTGAGTTGAGCTGCCGCCCAGATGGCTCAGTAGATAGAGCGTGCGCTCTTAAAAACAAGGCTGCTTGTTCAACTCCCACATGGGATGGGGTGGCCCACCCGCAACTAAGATTGAACACAGCACCTTGAGCTTAGAGGCCACGAGCTGCCGACAGGCAGCCAGAAGGCAACTGGCGCCCTCTACAACTAAGATTGAAGAACAACAACTTGGCTGGTCCCCTTCCCCAATTCTCCAACACTGTTCCCCTCCCACAACTCCCCAATTTAAAAAAAAGAGTGAATGGAAAAGGAAAAATACAACATTTCCCTTTTGAACTGTTGGAAAAGCAGGAGGGACTTTTCCTGAATGCAGAGTGTATCTAAAAGTAAAAACTATCAAATAATAATGAAGATATTTTTTTAAAAAGAAGGGGGAGGATCAGGTCCACGGAGAAAGGGGATGAGGGCACCCCAGGTGGGGAACGTATAGGCAAATATAGAGAGGCATGAGCAAGTCTTGATGGATCAAGAGTTATGAGGGGCACTACATGCAGACTTGGAATGACAAGGAGAGGGTGAGAGGGAGGACATGGGGGAATGTGAGACAAAGCAAGACGGTAGCTTTTCTGAAGAGTCGATGTGCTTTGTGGGTGTCTTTCCTCCAGAGCCTGGGCTGAAGAGGACAGGAGGGCTCAGGACACTGGGGAAGGGGCCGAGAAGAAGTTACACCCACAACGTGTCCACTGTCCATGGTTGCTCCATTCTTATTCCTATTTGTGTGGACACCAGCTAGCCCCATTTTCTGTGTACCTGCGTCCCTACCTGCGCCTGCAAAGGGAAAAAGGCTGGAGGATGTCCACAGTTCCTTGGTTCCAGGGACCGTGTAAGGACAGCCCAGCACTTTCCTGGCTGGACAGGGGCGCTTGTGACTCTCACCCTTTCCTGTTAATATTGTCCCCGCCACAGCTCTTCTTTCCCAGGAAATGGGGATGGGGGTTGGAATAATTCAGGCATACTATTTCACCTGTGTGTCCCAGGAAAGAACGGACCCTGAGTTTCAGGTGAATTTCTGCTAAGAGAAAATTCCCATGAGCAGAAAAGGGCAAATGAGGGAAAGGGTCCTCTTTATTCAGGTCCTTTTCCGGTGATCACAGGTGGGTCACAGGTCTGTTTACTTTCCCTGCAAGCTCCGTACTCCCTACGGAGAAGGCCACAAAGCCTGGAAATAAATAGCAAAGATTTAGAGGTTTT